TGACAATTTTTATGTAAAACAAAGTCAAACGAACACCAAAAAATATTTTTATTTCAACATTTTCCACGTGAAAAATTATGTCAATCAAATACAATAATTTACAATTCCCAGAAAAACAATTTCACATCAATTCAATATTCTGAAATTCGTTTTCTTTCTACCCAAAATTCACCTTTACAATCAGACGGACCCTTATTGAAGATTTCATTGAGTACATTTTCACAAAAAAAAATATCCTTAATAGGGCCTGTTTGGGCCCGATTTTTTCACCCAAAAAATTGATTTTTTGACCATTATTTCACTATTTCAACCGTCATATTTGACTTCTTCTCTCACGGGTGTACCCCACTTTTCTTTTAACGGTCAAAAAATTAATTTTCAAAATTACTCTCAAACAACCTCATATATGAAAGAGTGAAACTTCTTCTGAACACGTGTCGCAATTTCCTATCGTCCTCCAATTTTTAATTTTTATTTTCATTACTTCACTTTCACTCAACCATCAGCTCAAACCCACCCCACAATCCCATACATTCAAAATCTGACACATTAATTCAACTGGCCAAAATTGCAATGCCCATGAACTCCATCACCCACATTTTATACAACCCAAGAATAGTTTCATAGTCACATATCTTTAGGAAACGATTTAAATTAAAATCTCTTCAATTTTTGTGTAAGTATATGTTCATTGTAGTTTCTTGTAATCATTTATTTTCTGTTTTATGAAATTTGCTTGTCTGTTCATCTGATACGACTAAACTGGTGTTTTGGATTCACGAAGATGATGGTTGTATGAAATATGAATTTCTGAACTTGTGTATGATCTTTTGTCGCTTTTCCAATTTGAGAACTTTACTTATTGACAAAGAAATACAGACAAAAAGGATTTGGGTTCGTTGAGTTAGTTCTGCATAGATTAGTTTAATTAAATGACACTAGGGGATATTTATTTTGATTTTGATTGATGGATTTATCTAAAGATTGATATGAGCAAGACTAGAAATTTCAAAATTTTGAATTTAGCTTTGTGAAGATTTATGGCAGTGAAATTTTCAACTTAGTCCTTACAGAGTTAATTGTATGGTCACTACAGATATGAATTATTTTCAAAAATGTTTGCAACTAAATTTTTACTCAGCTTTGCGCATAAATAGTTCATTGGGCTTAAATTATCTAGAGTGTTACTTTGGTTGATGGATTTATTGAAATAATCGTTTGTGTGCAAATGTCGTTTTCAAAGTAATTCAGCTATTCCTTGGAAACTCCTTTCCATGTCAATCAAATTTCATTAATAGAAAATTGATAACTGATAATTAAGTGCTAGGGTATTGAAATTCATTTTTAAATTGAGAGTTTCTTGCCATTGCTTGTGCCTTC